TGGGATAAGGTGGTTTTCGGTTGGACTGTCATTCCCTTAGGACTCCGGTCTGTGCGTGCAGTAGTGTTGGGGGGCAATATATATAAAAGAGTAAAGTCCATCACCGGTCCCTAAACTTGTACCGCTGTGTCATCCTGGTCCCTAAACTCGTAAATCGACCGTTCATGTCCTCAAACTTATTCGACTATGTCATCCCGATCCCTAAACTTATAGATCACTCGTTTAGGTCCTCCAACTTGTTCAGTTGTGCCACCTCGGTCCCTAAATTTGGATTTGAATATCATCTGGGTCAAATAGGACGGTCTAAAGACTTTATATTTAAAAATAATTCATAACTTTTTCATGTGAACTCTAATGAAGATAAACTTTATATCAAACTTGTAGCCCTCAACACGATCTACAACTTTGTAGTTGAATTTTTTTTATTTTAAGTCATTTTTTGTCCCAAAATGTAATTTTAAAATCAAAATTGCAAAATCTATAAACATGCAACAATATTTTGGGACCCTAAACAGTTTTAATTCAAAAACTTTTCAACTACAAAGTTGTAGGTCGCGTCGAGGGCTACAATTTTGATATAAAGTTTGTCTTCATTAGAGTTCACATGAAAAAGTTATGAATTATTTTTTGATATAAAGTTTTTAGACTGTCCTGTTTAGGGACCGGGGTGACACAACTGAACAACTTGGAGGACCTAAACGAGTGATCTGCGAGTTTAGGGACCGGGATGACACAGTCGAACAAGTTTAAGGACCTGAACGGTTGATTTGCGAGTTTAGGGACCGGGATGACACATCGGTACAAGTTTAGGGACCGGTGATGGACTTTACTCTATATAAAAAATGGAAGCTACTAAAATGTACGCGTGTCACTTACTTAAGTTGTATTCTAAACGGTACTTAATTAGGCTGTGTTAGCCAAAACGAGTTGGGAACCCACTCACCACTTTTTTCACGCGCACGTTTTTCAAACTGTTAAACGGTGTATTTTTTTAAAAAAAATCTATATGAAAGCTGTTTAAAAAAATTCATACTGATCCATTTTTAAAAAATAAATTAGCTAATACTTAATTAATCACGTGTTAATGGGCCACTCCGTTTTTCGTGCGGGAGGGATTACTTCACATCCCATACTACCGAACACACCCTTAGATACGGTAGCTTACTTGTTCTTCGTAAACACATTTCCCAAACCACTGTTGACGTAAAACACGAGGCCTGGGAGATTTGCTTAACTCCAGTGCAGGTCCAAAGCTTGCCTTTGGGTGTGTTAGCGTGCCAGTTGATTTGATCCTGCAATCAACAAGAAATAGAAATAAAGAAATCGCGGTTAATTCTATAAATAATAGCCGATCGGCTAAGTGCCGATGACATATCATTTATCTTTGAGCCGATGTCATATGTGAATCGTTCGGCGACTATAAATAGATAATAAAGAACTAAACCTACTCGATTGGCTGTAGATATTACCAATATATAGTTCTTATATCGATATATATTTAAATCAAGTGATTGGGATAGATCGGTCGCCATGCCGAGACAGTATAAATCACCTGGATCGAAATATATATTAATAACAGGACTATATATGTTTATAGCATAGCCGATCATATAGATCTAGCATGTATCGGCTAATACTCCGATACTACTCTATATCAGGATATTAAAACAAGTATAATATATCAAATAAAAGCTTAATATACTTAAATATAATAAGATCTTTGACATAAAGGGCGGATTTAACATGTCATTGAAGCATATAGAGCGAATATAGTTAAATCAAATAAGATAGGCTGAAACTCCGATACTACCCTAATCGGCAACCAGAAGGCAGGCTAGAGATTGATATTCTAAGCACGACTTAATAGATCAAACTCAACTGATGCAGCATTAAGTATGAAAAGAAGAACAATATCTAGACAATCAAGCCGCTGGAAGTTTCATAGAGTGGTAGATTTCTTATATAATCTAAATCAACATCAAAATCTAACCTAATCGGCTGCCCTCTACTAACAGATGTTAGCCGATTATAGGTTAGATAGCGATATTGCCAGAGATTATGTATGATATATGATAACTCGACGAATTACGTAAACAAGATTAGAGTATCATAAAGATGGAAGCACTAATCCCGAGAACACAAGCCGTCATAACAAGTTTTACCTCTTGTTGAAGATCGAAACCGATGCAGCTCAACCCGAAAGCAAGAACTCGTCGAAATAAAACTAAAGCAAAAAGATGGCGATGCGCCGAAATTGTATTGAACGTGTGTGTCTTTTTTACATAGGGCTCAGGGTCTATTTATACCCGAGAATTACAAGATATGTCCATATCGGACACGACTATTATCTCTAACAAACTCTAAGATACCATAAGTCTTTGCGGCAGACTTTTGCCCTAAGCATATCTCTAAGGAAATTACATAAAACATCCTAATTAATAGATACAATTGCCTTTTCAGGACTCTATGCACGTGCAGCAATCATCTTGAAGCATATCAACTCAAACCCAATGTTGGATACGAGTCATATTGCTGGAATCGGCTATATCACCTAACCCAGTCTGATTCAGATTTAGCCGATTCTAGTCGTAGCCGATCTCGATCCCATCTTCACCTCCGATGTTGATATTACCAAATTTGGTCGTTAACAACCACGAAATAGTGTATTTCGTGCAAAAGTCTTTATATAAAAGTTTTTATAAAAAACAAATTTATTTTTAAAGTTTATAACAATTAATATCGGATTAATCATACATGAGTGACTTATCTTGTTTTTGACTGCCACCGCAAATTTCGGTTGACAGGCAGAACGAGCGCAGCCTTTACTCCTACTACTTATCTCTTCGATGATTTATATTCCAAACGTTCTCCATGTCACGCGGTACATGCGCTTTCCATTCCTTGTGAAAATTGACGATAAGCACCGATACATCACCATTAGTTGATACTACTATACAACCCTTTAAAAAGATCAGCGCAAACGAATATACCATATCAATGCTAATTACTCCTGGGATTACACCGCGATTAATTCCTGCTATCCATATCCTATTTGAGTAAGTGATTCCAAAAATAAAACTGCAAACAACACTATAACCACCAAACAAAGCTAGCACCGTTAGCAGTAGCATCGATCAGCACAAGTGAAAAAAAAAAATCAACAGCGTCAGAGATGAAGGCCATCCACGCAGCACTGCTCATCCTGGCCATCGTCCTCGTCGCTTCATCATCATCACCACCAGGTACGCAATACTTGGCGCTAGCTTGTATCCATCTCTGGTTTTTTTTGGTGATCGAGGCTAGCTTGTGATCAGCTGCATGGTTGGGTTGAACGAAATGGCAGGTGGCGTGACGGCGCAGCTGGAAACCTGCACGGAGGTGATCAACCGGGAATACCCGACGTGCGACAGCGGCTTGTGCGTGGCGAACTGCCAGCGGCAGTACAGGGGCGGCATTGGCCAGTGCGTCGGCAACAAGTGCAAGTGCGACTACTCCTGCGCCTTCCTGCCGCCGCCGCCGCCACCGGCGACGGCGAGAAACTAACCGGTTGGTCGACGATGGGAAAGCACGGCGGCGCGTGTCACGTACTTAGCTTACAGAGGTTGAATCAGGATTAATATATTTACTCCTGTGTTTTAGTACAGGGTGACCCGCGCGTTGTCAGTATTGTTATGCTCGGAGAGGCGTTTGATGAACAAATAAATGAAAGAAAGGGTTCCCGTTCTCATGGTATACATCGGTTTGCATGGGAAAGCTAGTCGTTTCACCCCTCAAGTGGAAGGCCATTTGACCTCCTAAGTATTGGCTACAATAATTATATTTTCATAGTAACATACCTTTTTTTAATAATTAATATTAAACTTGACCTTTGCTTCAACTAAAGCTAAATCCACTTATTACAAAGTTTTTGGCTTGAAACTCAAACACGACAGAAATAAACAAAGGTACATGAAAAGATGACACAATCACACCAACCAAGAAAAATAACAACTTATTCAATGATTCGGAATTTCTCGTGCACGAAAAAGAAGGGATTTCACAATACGATTTCACTACATCCCCACCCTGCGCTGCTGACTACCCATCCCAGTGCGCCACCGCTCAGCCTTGTCGGCACCGGAAGCCGCCAATGGCTCTGGCATGCCCCTTCCAAGCATGCAATTCAACTCCTCCCTTCTACCCCTCTCTTGTTTGATTTTTTTTCTCCCATTCCAGCAATGTCCCGGTCCTTTCTCATCTCCGACGGCTAGCGCCACTAAATCCATCCCCTCCGCCAACCGTCACCTTCCATCCTCACGGCTCAAGCAGCACCCAAGTCACCTACCTGTCTCTGCACCCACTAAGATGTTTCCACCACCCCATCCATCCCTCTAAAGCCACCCTCCAAAACCCCTACCCTGCTCCACCATGGCACCAACTTCTAACCCTAAAACTATAAAACCTAGGTCCTCTGCTGGAGTTTTATCGTCCGAGGTCACCTCCACCGCTGTCAGGGGAAACTCGTCGCCACCGTGGTGGGTGAGTTACCCACTCCTTCTCACCCGAGCTCTAGGACGACTCCGTGACAATCCAAGAGCCATGGAGCATGTGAATGACAACTATGTCTTATATTAAAAAAACAAAGTAATACAATTGTATGCATGTCTCATTAGAAGCTCGACTTAGCCAACAAGATATTAAAGCATGCGGAAGGTTTTTCTAAGAATGTTTGACTCAAAAAGGGAAAAAGGGCCTATTTGATTCAACTTAATTGAGAATGAAACAATCACATGCCTATCAACGTCAGAACGTCATTTGAGCCAACTGCTCAATGAAGCAAGTTTATGAGAGTGGTGTCAAGTGTCGACTGTTACATTCAAGTAAGTTTTTTTTTTGAAGGAATCATAGATCAGGTGATGTTTATTGTCTTTTATAAGAGTGCATCTACACATATGTTGACAGAAAATCCCACCTCCTATCTTTCAAATTTTAGATCATTGGATATGCTTCAAGATTCGTGCAGACCCCTTAACCCTAACTCCTCTCCTCCTCCCCCATCCAGATCGCGCCGCCACCGCTACTCCTGTCTCTCGCACGCGATTCCCAGCCGCCACCGCCCTACCGCGCCGCTGCCCGCCTCGCCGGCTGGCCAGAGGGCGTCAACGGCGCCGGCGAGGCCCCTCGGCCAGCCTCCTCCCCCTCGTCCTTCCCCTCCTCCTCCCCCCTCCATCCTCCTCGAGCCGTCGGCGGCAAGATGCCCCCGCCACCAACGCCGGCCCACCGCCGTCCTCCAGCCCCGCGAATCCGGTGCCGCCGCCGGTGCCTCGCCGCCCACCGCCGGGCTGCCGCCTCCCCCGGCCATCCCTTTAAGCCCGGCGAACTCTTCCTTCTTCCCCCTCCCCCTCCCACCCTTCCCACCCCACCCCACCCCAGGACCCTAATTCTTCGCCGGAGTTTGGGTTGTCGCCGGCACCGGAAAAGAAGAGGAGTTCGTCGGAGTTGGAGAAGAAGCAGCTGGAGCACGAATTGCGAAACACATCCAGTGAACTAAAATTTGCAAGATTTAGAGGTAGGTTTTTTGTTGACTGAAGTGTAGCAATTCCTTTATTATTATCCATTTGGTGAATTAGTCCATGGCCAATGCTCCATCGTGTCACGTACCCCGGCACTCCTTGTAGGAATCAGGCCAAACAAGCAACGCCTTGTGTCCTTATGCAAGGAGACATGACTCTTCTACAAGAAAGGACGCAACACCCCGGAGCATGGCGCAGCTGCGAGATGAGGGTGCGGGTTGGGGCAGCGTGTCTAGGAGCTCATGGCTTGAGCTTGGTGTTGCGGTCCCCTCGTTCCAATCAGTACGTAGTACAAGATTGACCTCTCGCCCTAATCTCACTTCGTTATTTGGTAAGGCTAGAAATTACCTCTCTATGACTGTTGGGTTCTGGCTACTTGCATTATGGGCTATAACATCTTTAACATATGCTTTGGATTGACTATGACCCATCTAAACATTTTCCATGCCATACGGAGCATATGCGCTTTTTTTTTCTCGTGAAAATTGACAAATTAAAATGCACCGAAATATCACCTTTAATTGGTACTATTGATTAGGTACCAATTTGGTACAACCCTTAATACAAGGCCACTATATAATCCTAAAGATCAGCACAAACGAATATAGCAGTATCAATGCCAATTACTCCTGAAATTAAACCCGTTCCCGTTATCCATATCCATACAACTTACTGTAGTAAGTGATTCCAAAAATAATACGAACAACAACACTATAAACGCCACACTCCCATTCGGTACACCTAAAAGAAACAAAGCTGCAGCTAAGCACCGGTAGCAGTAGCAGAAGTCACAAGGAAAAAAAAAAGCCAATGGCGTCAGAGTCAGAGATGAAGGCCTTCCACGCAGCACTGCTCCTCCTCCTGGCCATGGTCCTCGTCGCATCATCTTCATCAGGTAGTACACAACACTCGGAGCTACTACTCTCTCTCTCTCTCTCTCTCTCTCTCTCTCTCTCTCTCTCTCTCTCTCTCTCTGGCTTGTGATCAGCTTGGTTTGAACCTTGAACGAAATCGCTTCAAAATTCAAAAAAATTGAACGAAATGGCAGGCGTGATGGCGGCCAAGATAGCGGGGCCCAAGTACTTCCAGGACACCTGCTCGGCGGTGTTGAACCCGGGCGCCCCGTCGTGCGACAGCGGCGAGTGCGCGACCAATTGCCCGCGGCAGTACAAAGGCGGCGTGGGCCAGTGCATCGGCACGCAGTGCAAGTGCGTCTACACCTGCGCTTCCCCGGCGCCGGCGAGCAACTAATAACCCGGCCGGCCGGCCGATCGATCGGTGGTCGATCGACGACGATGTGCAGTACTGTGTGCACAGGGGCCGATCATCACTCACGCGTCGATCAGGCTTAAATTTTACATACAGTGTGACGCGTGCGATTGTTAAATTTTGTGATGCCTGGAGAGATGTTGATGATTAAATAAAGAGACTATTTATATGGGATTGTCCTATTTTCAGCAGCGCTAAATAGAACGCTGTGTGAACCTCTCTCTGTTTTTTTTTTGGTGTGTGGGGGGGGGGGGGGTCTCATGTGCTTCATTACAGCGTTGGCCACGAGAGAGTTCAGTTGCTTTGTTTTTGCAGATTTTCTTTTAGAGTGAATTTAGTTAATATGGTCCTCAATTTAGTTCCTAACATTTTATATTATAAAAAAATCTTCAAAATTTATCATATAGCTCAATATTAGTCTCTAGATTCAACGAAAATGTGCGAAGTGAACTTAGTTCAACTGATTAGGTTGCTTGTGATAGAATCAATTTACCCTTGCATTTATGGCTAATTATTTTATCAGTGGTAGACGAGACGTTTATGTAGACTTCGTCAATCTCAAAATATACCGATCCAATTCAATGCTCGCATTTATATCTAATTATTTTTCAGTGGTAGACGATGCATTCATGGTGACTTTGTCAACCTTAGATATACCGATCCAATCCAGCCTTATGTTTGTACTGTGTTTTTTAATAAAAAAAACCAATGAAAATGCCACATCGGTATGCCGCATCTTCGTTGCAATCTTAATTCCTATTTTATCAATGATGTAACTATGTAACCTAAATTAAAAGAGCAATTCTATGGTTTTTGAGGAGATACCACGAGGTACTAAAAATCTAGTGTAAAATTTGGTACATCATGCTACCTTTGCTCAAATTAAAATTACGTAGAGTGAAGCAGAATTAATTCTCCCGAGGAAGGCTGTCAAAATTAGTCAAGCACATGAACAGTCAGCATGGCCGTGCATAAAGGATATTAGGTTAGGGCTGTCAAAATTATCATCGGCCTGCGGCCGGCCTAATCATTGATGGCCGCTGTTCCGAGCTCAGCCTGCGAGACAGAATCCGACCCGATAGAGGTTGGGTTGGGCCGGACTTTATATGTCCGTGTCCTCCGTTCCCCTTTCACCCAAATCTACAGATTGCTTTCGCAATTAAATCTGGTACTAATAGGTTTCGCCTTCCAAGTTCCAATAGAGAGCGATGGCGTGGATGACCCCAGATCCGTGGATAAGCCTCCTCGAGGAGGAGGAGGAGGCGTGCGTGAGCGTGAACAAGCGCCCCAAGGGGGAGGATACAGTGACGAGCGACGGCGAGGGCGAGGCGGCGTGCGCGAACAAGCGACTCAAGGTGGAGGCCACAGTGACGAGCGACGGCGCCGTGGTGCGCCAGCGCCATGAGGCCGCTGTGGCGGCGAGGGGCTATGGCGACAGGATGCCCCTCGTGCCGCAGCCCTTTTTGCGAGTCAGGCAGATTACCGAGATGCCGGACCGATACCGGTTCCTCGATCGCTTCACCGATGAGCAGCTCGCCACCATGCCCGAGAGCCTCCACGCAACTTTGGTGAGAATTGAGGGGGGCTTCAAGAAGAGTTGGGTTGAATCTGAGCTCAGGCGCATGGAGATGTACAAAAACGTAATTTGAGATTTGAGATCGTAGGTGGCAAAGCAGAGATCAAGCAGTAGCATGGAATTAATCCATTTGTGATCCTCGTATTGCGGTATCTTGCTCTGCAGTATATATTGCAAAATATATTTTGTGAAGGTGCACACTTTTGATTAAGCAAAAAAATTTGTTTAACCTTAAATCCTGCTAAGGTGGCTCAAGGTTATATAAAAATAATGGTTTGAGTTGTCTTTTTAGCACATTAGAAACTATACTCCCTCCATTCCATAATATAAGGCACAACCACTTTTCTTAGATGTTCTATAATATAAGTCATGCATGCAAGCATGCAATTAATTATGACATTTTCTCTATTAAATTATTACTATTTTAAATCCTTATATAATTCTATTAGATGCATGCATTATATTTATTAGAATGTTCCAAACTACAAGATGATAATAATTATTTCTTGGTCTTTGGATTAAGGGTGGTTATAACTTATATTTTGGAATGAAGGGAATAGTGAATTGGCGCATGGCATTTTCCAGTGACGAATGCTCAAGCAACCGGTGGGAAATTAGGATACTTCACTCTTGCCACTTTCTTTCAGCAGAAGCAGTGGCATTCCCTGTAGCTTTTAACAGCTACAGTTTCTTCTAAAATTATAGCTCCCACGATTATCCATAGTTAACCAGCTCCAAAGTCCAAACAGGACCGACATCTTTCTCAAGATTCCAAAGCCGGACGACTCCAGCATGAGTTAACCAGCTTGGCCCGACTCTGGACAAGGCATGGTCTGAATTGTATTCTGCCATCCTATGCCTATGACAAGTTAGGCCTTTTGAAGGTTCTTGCATGTAGTCTCTCCGGTACTAGCCTCGTTTAGGTATGGGCAAAAATTAATGCAAGACACATATATGAACCGGATAACCCTATCCATTGTTGGGAATTAGTAGTATATAATCACAGCCATCAAAGCTACCAAAAATAGATGATTTGTATTTAGAAGCATTATAATTCATATATAAGCCTATTGATTGTAATGTAATCCATATTAATCTGTTGTCTTTCTTGGAAGTGATTCTAAAAATAGAGCATCCCCATGGATCCACTATAAAATCATGGCATTTGCCATATAGATCAACAACGCATCTCATCTCATCACTCATCAGTGCGTTCGCGAAAAAATCACTCATCAGTCTTCCAATTCTAGCTTTCGACACCAACACCAAACAAAGGATGAGGACTGTTCAGTTGCTGCTGGTCGCCATTGCCCTCATGTCTCTATCATCAGGTAATTAAGCACCTTCTCTCGCCGTTGATTTCGCAAACATAGATCACGCAACTCCTAAGCAAGAAATCTATCGCTTGTATCTGCAGTGATGGTGGCGAGATCTGCAGACATATCTGCCTTAACCCCGAACTGTAGTTCAGTTATCCTGAATCCGGGCAAGGCATGCAGCGCCGCCAAATGCAACGCGGACTGCTCCAGGATGTACAAGGGCACCGGCACCTGCTTCGGTCCAGTTGGTTGTGACTGCGAGTACTGTCCGTCTGCCTCGGCACCAACCGCGACTGGATCAAAGAACTAGCTGGGCTATATTTGTGATGTAGAAATGATATGTGTACTCATTTGCTTCCATGGACATGGCAGCGATCGATGTGACGATGATGGTGTATCAGCAAATTCTTTTCTTAGCATGATATAATGATGGTGCAAAAGTTCAGTTATGTTTCTTGAGTTATGGCCCCAAAAATATTGACAATCAATACCATACTCATGATACTGATTTTTCTTAGAGAAGTACTCATGAATCATGATACTGATACGGATAGGTTTGAGCTTTTTTTAGGCAGTGGTTATGATTGGGCTTCAGGATGTGGGCTAATCTGGGCTTGCATCAAGTGGGCCTTGCTTCATTGGCTTGGGCCTTTGTTTGTGTTCTTTCTCAGTTGCAGTTCACGACACGTGTACAAACCACGGATTTTTTTTACAACTCGGCAAAGGTTAAAAACAGCAGAAGCACAGGGAACGTACGGTGCAATCGTCCACGGCAGGACAAAGAACCGACATCTAATTCGGCATTAACGATGGATCCATTGGCCACGGTCAGTTGTGTAGTGAGTAGCTAGATCGGCCTTGCAGCAGCAGGCTTCGCTGTGCGTACAGCCGTTGCCTGTCGCGCCCGGGAAACTGGGGTGCATGCCCAGTTGCCAAAACCCCGGCCGTCCCTACTCCCTCGTGATGCTTCTTGGAGTACTTCGCTGCTCCATTCAGGAAGCAGTGGTGTGCCAGCGTTGGACTAATTAAGCTCGATCGCTGACAGGCATCACCAACAACCATATCCTACTAGCTCTGAATTCCAGCGAGGTGCTCTAATGGCATGTTTGGGGGCAGTCAGAGAGAGGGATTTGTGTTATTGTGTCCTACGCGTTGCAGCTGCAAACCACGTGCTAGATCACTGACAGGTGGGCCAGCGTGTCTGGCGAGTTAGGCCCGAATCAAATCAGAGCAGAATTATCATCAAGTTGTTGCGAGATAAAAGTAACACAAGATGTGCACCTTTTTTATTTTTTTTTCTCCTGAAGATTCAGCCAGCCAGTGGTGTGAACAGCACAGACCCGACACAGGCTTTGCCACAAACAGGCACACATGCATGCATATATCTGAGAAAGAAGGAAAAAAACTTTGAGCTTAAGCCCTGAAAGGCTCCATTCTGGTTGCCCTCAGCTGCTGCAATCCTGATGTGATTTGCCTTCCCGGGACAGCGATCTCTCATTATTCCTCACCTTTTGCCTCCCCCCCCCCCCCCCCCCCCCACTTGTGTGGACTCAGCCGCACAGCGACGTTGCCCCAAAACGCAAATGCGACTCTTCGGAGTCGTACGCCCGGCCGGCCCGATCGACTCCCTAGCTCGCCTCCCCCTCTGCAAGCGCTGTGCCTTTCAAGCCGGGGAAAATAAAAAACAACAACGCAACGTATGCCTCACGACGAGCCAACGAGACGGTGAAACCGACGAGAGCAGCGTGCGTTCGTTTTCCGTATCTCTCTCTGACGTTTACTCGCCATCGACGACGACGACGTACGCCCCCGGCGGCGCGCGCGGTGTAGTCCGAGAGGCCCGCGAAGCGCCACACATGCGCGGCACCGCGTACCACGGCTCGATCATGCAAACGCGACGACGGCGACGGCTGCGAGCTGCAGATCCAAGAAAGACAAGACTGAAATATACATGGTTTGCGTCCTAAATTCGTGCTCTCTTTAAGAAAAAAGGTTTGATAGATCCATCTGATTGACAGATCAAGCTAGTTGTTCTTTTCCTTTCTTTTCTCTCTTTTCTCAATTCTCTCCCATCTTTGGGAAAAGTGGGAACGTGACGAGAGAGGGTACACCAGCTGGTTAGTACTGGTGATGAAAGGATCAGGGTTTGTATGTTCCTAGACTGTCATATCAACGTCGGCTACAGGGGAATATATGTGTGTGGGTGTGACCAATGACGAAGTGGTAATGATCTGATTAGATCGATATGAGATGTTGTCCCCATGGGTGGTGTGGTTGGGCTAGAACCATCTCAACAGCAGTGACCTCCGCCGACTGTCCGTGCATCATGCAGGGGGATGGTATCCAATCAGTGAGATCGATCGAGTAGATTTTTTGGCGTTAATGAAGGCAACTAAACTCAGGATTACGCCAAGACACAAGCCACATCAAGCACCTAACCATGCATCAACAGATGCAGTACTTTCACATTATTGTTGGACCAGGGCCATGTTCTCGGAAGAGGAAGCTTGCATATGCATTAGCTAAGGTGTCGCTCTCATGCCGGCACTGGCAAATATTGTGCGCTGTGCGATAGTAGTCGATCGATCGGGACTCGGGCTACGAAGTTCTTATTGAATTAATTTTTCCAGATAAGCTAGGGACAAGGGACGATGCTGTTGCTTGCATGCATAGTGGTGAATTGGTGTGTCGTAGCATATATAGCATCCATGTACGTTGTCTGTATTTTAACTGTGTGTAAACATTTCCCATCTTACAACGTCAGATGCAGAATTTAATCAGGCAGTTTGATTTTCAGATCCTACAAACATGGAGCAGGAACATGTACAAGGCAGACACTGAATAAAGAACGGAGTGCAACTTCGCGCGTCATAAATTTCATTTGAGATTAAGAGCAATTTTAAAGTTTAATAGTATAGCCAACTACCAGTTTCAAATCATCTATAATCAATTTAATAGCCAATTCATACAATAGTTACATATAAATAACTACGCTATTAATAGTTGGTACCACCTGTCATACACACATTGCGTCATAGAGTCTGTGCTGCAGGTGACTACAAATCTGTAGCCCGCTAGTCATATCTCTCTATTTTTTTTCTTCTGGATATGTGTTTATAGCTGACTTGTAGTATGCTATTATATCTCCTCTAATTAAGGAAGAGACAATTGTGTTCTTACTCATGTTTTTTTAGTGCAATTGTGATTTTACCCTTACTTTTCAGACTTTGCGATTTGCCCTCACTTTTCTGAACTGAATAATCCATTTACCCCTAGATTGGATGTCCGTTCGGTGGTCCCAAATTAAGTGAGGTAAAGAAAACAGATAATTGACTAACAAAATATGAAAAATACTCTTCTAGCCCCACCTATTCAACCAAATCCACTTCCCACTCTCTCCCGCAAAAAAAAAATCCATTGCTCACTCGATCGTGGGTTGGAAACTGTGAACTATTTTTTCGTGGGACATATCCACTGATTAGGTGGGTTGCCTTATAATGGTCATAGATAGTATATATTCAAAACTCTTATTATATAAAACCTGTCATTGGAAATTATGAACTATTTTTTCATGTGTTATCCGCAGTACAATGGACATGTCTTTAGTTTTAATTCAAAAACTTAAAACTGAACTGAGATTATTTTACTACTAAAGTTTCACTTTAAACCAAATAATTTTATCACAGTTTGGACCACCACAAACAACTTGTTCCATACACACAAACCTCAAGTAAATCGGCTCTAGCACACCAATAAACTTCCCCATCTATACACTGGTCATATCTTTGATAGGCTTTGTTTTTATATTGAAGAGTTGGTGAATCAAAAAAAAAGGACAAAATTATTCAGTCCAAAGTAAAAAGAGATTGGTTTAAGATTGATCCAAAATAAAACTTTAATAATAAAATGCGCCTCAAACTTTAATATAAGTTTTTTTACAACTTGTAAAATTTGAGTTTGACATGTAGAGTGATATATCTCATATTGATATATCTTGTTTTATTTTTTTAACTATATAAATAATATGA